GATAGACTCTTCGACGTAATGGGCGTGCCCAACAATAAACAAGTTAAGATGGTTGCTATTCGTTTGAAGAGCACTGCTGATGTGTGGTGGGACAAGCTGGTTATCCAACGACGACGCCAATGAAAGGCTCCGATCTGAACATGGAGGCGAATGAAGCAGCTGATGATGGAGCGATTCCTGCCAGAGGATTACGAACAGATTTTATACAATATGTACATCGACTGTGTCCAAGGTCGGAGGACTGTTACAGAGTACACCATAGAGTTCTTGCGTTTCGCAGAACGAAATGAGTTGGGAGAAACGGAAGGACAGAAGGTAACTCGCTACATCAATGGGTTGAAGGGATCGATACAGGAGAAGATGGGTTTACAAACAATGTGGACTGTAGAGGAAGCTTCCACTTTAGCGCTTAAAGCCGAATTGATGGAGAAGACCCCTCGAAACCTCCCGCCCTTCCGCAGGTTCCCTCCACCAGGAAACCCTGAAGTTATCATGGATAAAGAAAGAGCTGTGGGAACGAAAGAATCCCTCCCCGATACGAAACCTAATGGAGGAGCTAATGGTTCGAGCAAAGCACTGCCACCCAAGGCTCCTAACCCCTATGCGAGACCCACTGGAGATAAGTGTTTTCGCTGTGGAGGCCAAGGTCATCATTCCAACGTTTGTCCTTCTCGTAAGATGACTGCGGTCCTAGACGATGTGAACGGGGAAACAGAAGAATGGGAGGAAGAGGAAACAAGGAACGAATACGAGGGAATTGAGTTCGCGGAGGAAGCTTCGACCAATGCGGTAAACATTGTGATCCGGAGGATCCTACTTTCCACAGTTGACGAAGGCCAACGAAAGAATCTTTTCCCGGACCCACTGTTTGATTAATAGTAAAGTCTGCAACCTTATTGTAGATAATGGAAGCACCGAAAATTTGGTTTCCCAAAGGTTGGTGGCCTATTTAGAGTTGCCGACTGAACCTCACAAGGCTCCCTACGCTCTGGGATGGGTTAACAAAGGTCCCCAAGTCAAAGTAACACGGACTTGCAAAGTGCATATCTCCATCGGAAAGCACTATAAGGAAGAGGTAACCTGTGACGTTCTGAACATGGAGGTTTGTCATGTCCTTCTCGGCCGACCCTGGCAGTACGAAAATGACATCACGTATCGGGGAAAGGACAACATCATGATGTTTACTTGGGGAACCCATAAGATAGCTATGGCACCCGTGAGCGGGTTCAACACACCTCCTGGTAAGGCAAAATCCAGTTTTCTCGTGTTGTCACAAGACGAACAAGAGCTGGTGGTGGAAGTTCGAGAGGCCGTCTGGGCTTTCCCGGTGGTGATTAAAGGGCTGGTAAGTGCGGCCACTCCAGACCCTGCGGTTCCGCAAGAGGTGCGCGTAATCTTGAACGAATTTGGCGAGTTAATGTCGGAGGAGCTACCCAACAAGCTACCCTCGATGCGCGATATCCAACATCACATCGAATTAATTCCAGGGTCAAGTTTTCCAAACTTATCGCATTATCGCATGAGCCCGCAAGAGAACGAAATATTGACGGAGCAGATTGAGGATTTTCTGAAGAAAGGTTTCATACGGGAGAGCATGAGCCCATGCGCAGTACCTGTCCTGTTGGTACCAAAAAAGGAAAACCAGTGGCGTATTTGTGTTGATAGTAGAGCTATCAATAAAATAACGATCAAGTACAAGCTTCCCATTCCCCTCTTGGAGGATATGCTTGATGAACTGTCCGGCTCGATGATTTTCACTAAGATTGACTTACGAAGCGGGTATCATCAAATCCGCATCCGATCCGTTGACGAATGGAAAAATTCCATCAAGAGCAAGGATGGTTTGTACGAGTGGCTCGTTATGTCGTTCGGATTATCCAACGCCCCCAGTACCTTCATGCGCTTAATGACTCAGGTTCTTCGTCCTTTCCTTGGTTTTTTCGTGGTGGTTTATTTTGATGATATACTAATTTATAGCAAGACCAAGGAAGCGAATCTGGAGCATTTCAGGCGTGTGTTGCGAGCTCTATAGGAGAATAAGCTTTACATCAATGTGAAGAAGTGTACTTTCTACTCCAGCCATCTACTCTTCCTGGGATTCATCGTTGGCGCTGATGGGATTCGTGTGGATGAGGAAAAAGTTAGTGCCATCCGTAATTGGCCCACTCCTACGACGGTATCGGACGTTTGCAGCTTCCATGGGTTGGCCACGTTCTACCGCAGGTTCGTGAGGGATTTCAGTACTATTACAACACCTATCATAGAGTGTCTAAAGAAAGGCAAGTTCCAATGGGGTCCAGCACTAGAGCGGAGCTTTGAGTTAATCAAAGAGAAGCTTTGCACAGCTCCTGTTCTCACTCTAACCGACTTCGACAAAATCTTTCAGGTGGAATGCGACGCAAGTGGGGTTGGAGTCGGGGACGTTTTGTCACAAGAAAAGCGGCATGTTGCCTACTTTAGCAAAAAACTTAGTGATGCAAGGCAAAAATGGAGTACCTATGACCAGGAATTCTACACCGTTTTTCGTGCTCTTCGGCAGTGGGAACACTATTTGATCCAACGGGAGTTCATTCTATTCACTGATCATCTAGCCTTAAAATTTCTCCACAATCAGAAGATCATCAACAAAATGCATGCCCCTGGGTTAGTTATCTACAGAAATTCCCATTTATTATTCAGCACAAGTCGGGGGTGCAAAACAAGGTAGCAGACGCTTTAAGCCGGCGGGCCTCTTTGTTGCTGACCTTGTCTCAAGAAATTTTGGGGTTCGACCTTCTCAAGGATCTATACGCGATAGATCCAGAGTTCCAGGAGCAATGGCATACGTGTACACATCAACACCCGCTTGATGATTACCATGTCCGCGAGGGGTTCTTGTTCAAAGGTGATTGGTTGTGCATCCCGGATTCATCCCTGCGCGAAAGGCTGATTCGTGATATGCATGGAAGTGGCCTTGGTGGACATCTCGGCCGCGACAAAACCATTTCCAGCTTGGAGGAACGTTTCTATTGGCCTCACCTGCGCCGCGATGCCGGGGCCATAGTCAAACGATGTTTTGCCTGTCAAGTTTCGAAGGGACAGTCCCAAAATACCGGGTTGTACCAGCCGCTTCCTGTCCCTGACGACATTTGGCTTGATCTCTCCATGGATTTCGTGCTGGGATTGCCTCTTACTCAACGAGGAGTGGACTCTGTGTTTGTGGTAGTTGATCGTTTCTCAAAGATATCCCATTTCATCGCGTGTAAGAAGACTGCGGATGCTTCTAATATTGCGAAGCTGTTTTTCAAGGAAGTAGTGCGTCTACATGGGGTTCCTAAGACTATCACATCTGACCGTGACACAAAATTCCTTAGCCATTTTTGGATGACTTTATGGAGAATGTTTGGTACCACATTAAATCGGAGTTCTACCGCACATCCACAGACTGATGGATAATCGGAGGTTACTAATCGGACGTTGGGCAATATGATCCGTAGTATATGCAGGGATAAACCACGACAATGGGATTTGGCTTTACCCCAGGCGGAGTTTTCATATAACAGCGTGGTCCATTCAGCCACTGGCAAGTCACCTTTTTCCCTGGTTTATACTTCCATACCACGGATGTCGTTGATCTGGTATAGCTTTCACCTGCACCGGGGAGAAGCCATGCTGCTGGCGACATGGCGCGCGACATTCAGGCTACTAAGGCGGTCGTCAAAGAAAGGCTTGAAGCTACGGGCCAAAAGAATAAGGCTGCTGCCGATGTGCATCAGCGTCGCAAACTGTTTGCTGACGGCGATGACGTCATGGTCTTCTTGCGTAAAGAGCATTTTCCCGTTGGCACCTACTCCAAGCTCCAACCGCGTAAGTACGGCCCTTTTAAAGTGTTGAGGAAGATAAGTGACAATGCCTACATCATCGATTTACCGGCACATGAATATGTCCCCCACCTTCAACGTCGCCGACCTCTACGACTACTATGAAGATGATCCACTTTTCCTTGATCCAAACTCGAGGTCGAGTTCTTTACGGGTGGAGGAGACTGATGCAGCGCTGATTGAGAATAGGATTCAGAATGCATTACGGGCGGAGGAGAAATTGGCTGTTGATGTGGCCCGAGAAGGAGAGCTGGTGACGTAGGCTGCATGAGTCCACATGCGTGAAGGAAGATGAAGAGTTGGTGTATTTGTTTTCATTGTTTTTAGTTCTTTTTCCTTTTGGTTTTTGTTTTCATTGTTTTAGTTCCTTTTCCTTTTGGTTCTCGGTTAGATTAATTTCAACTTTGGCTATTTAAAGGTCTTGCCTTGTATTCGGAACAACAACTTTCACAACTTCAATCAATTGACCCGAGGGTTTCTTCCAGTAGTTTTCTGGTTCTTTTAACAAGTTCGTGGCTTGCGAGCTTGTTCTTCTTTGGGGGTCGACGCTAGCGAGCTTCCTAGGTGTTCCGACTGCGTCAACATTAAAAATAGGTTTAATACACTTGCATAGCCATAATTATGCACGTTTTGACAAATACAGCCAAATTTTGAATAATACACTAAAATAGTCATTTCATCCATAAGTTTGACGGAACAATGATACATGTTGACTGGACTAACGTCACTTGCTGATGTGGCTGACTTTTCATCTTGATCTTGCCAAGTTGGAAATGAATTATTTATTATAATATTAAATGGAAAAAAGAAAAGATAATAAAAAGAGAAGTGAATATCATCGCCGCTTGACCTTCCCTGCGGCTGTCATGGCATTCCTTCACGTCGCCGCTTCATGATCTTCAACCTCAAAATCCCTTCTTCATATTCAAAAATTCCAGGCAGCTTTAGGAAGGCGAGAACAGAGGTATAAGGTGTTGGTTCCGGTGGTTGTTCTAGGGATTCCCAGCAGATGCGGTGGTTGAGATCTAGCTGGCGAAATCGGGGTGAGATCTTCGAAGCCACTTTCTCCTCCGATTGCTCTCCCTCTCTTCTAAGACAACTGTCGCTGCTATAAAAAGGAAAAGTAAAGACGGCGAAAGAATGGCGGCGAGGGCTCATCTTAACAACAAAGAAAGCTTCTTCACGGGCGACGCCGTAGGCGCTGAAGGTTTGCGGAAGATGATACGCGTTGACCTTCGATTTCTAGATCCCACTATGCTTGTTCCCGGTTTTGAGTATTGGGATCTGTTTTTCTCTTTGCTTTGCCCCTCGTCTGCGGCTTCTTCGTCCGACGCCATCAACAGCGGTGGATTCTCGACCCCTGGGTTCTTCACAATCGGCTGAGTCGTCTATGGACCTGAACATGAGGTGGAGGTGATTTCTCTTGTGCGACGACGACCCAACCACTGGACGTATGATGATTCGGGCTGGAATGGAAGGAGAACTCGATCTGGAGATTTGGGGATTTTTGGGCTTAGGGATTTTCGATTGGTGAAAAGGGAAAATGAAAATTTAGATCTTTGGTTTCTGGGACCTAGGATTAGGGTGGTGGATCTGAAAGTTTTGGGCAAAGGAAGGAGATCTGGGAAGGTTTGTGGGATTTTGATTTTGAGATTTTGGATTGAAAGAATGGTTTTGTGAGAAAGGTTTGGGAAAGCAGAGATCGATCTCGACCTGGTATTTTTTGGGACGACGATCTCTTTTTTTTTAGATTTGGGAAGAGGGATTGGAGATGAAATTGGTCTGCTGGGTTGAGTCGATCGGTGGGCGATGGATTTTGGTGGAAGAGATTAACTTAGCGGCTGCAAACTGCAATGGCTTAAATTGGAGAGGCCGGCGATTACAGGGGAGAAGCTCCGATGTGGGACGACGGGGTCGTCGCTGGGGAAGGGACGAGATGGGAGAAGGAGAGCCCGATGAGGAAAGTGAAAAAAAATAATTTTGAAATGATAATTTTTTATTTTATTTTAAATATGATGTGACAACTAGGTGGCATGACTTGGTGTGTTGGAGGTGATGTAGGAGCTGAGGTGGCATCCACATCAGTGTCCTGTTAACGGCGTTAAATCTTTTAATGAAAATGGCTAATTATGTCAAACGAGTTTCTAAAATGTGGCTACAACTGTGTATTTTTTTAAAAAGTGTCTATTGTTGTCAAAATGTGGATAGTTATGACTATGCAGGTGAATTAAACCTTAAAAATAATAAACATACTCATATGAATATAGTTAAATTATTCAAAAAAGAATTAAGGGAAGTAATTTACAGGAAGAAAAAACGGTTGAAAAGAGCAAGGGTAGAAACAAAACCGAAAACAATAACAAGAACACACTAAAAAAAACTCCTAAGGGAGGACTGAAAGTAAAACCAAGAACGACACAGAAAGGGAAGACTTAAGAAAAACAAAGAGAAAAATGCTCCTCAATGGGTACTATATAATATACAAACAAAAAAACACTCAAGAACAAACACTATCTAACTAGTGGATGATATCCCAAACTGTTCCAGCACACATCATCTGTAACTGTAATCAGCTTCCGAGCAAGAATCTATCTCCCAACCGAATAAATGATCTTATAGCAAATGCTTCATGGTGGCCGTGACTCTCACCTATTTACAATTGTATTATAGCTAAAATATGAGGTAATAAAGTAAATTTTTAGTAGTAAAATTATTACATGTAATTTAGGCAAACTATGTCGACAATGGAACGAGTCAGAGCGAATTAGATAGAGAAAAGTAGCTATATTGAAAAACATGTCAAAGAGATCGAGTAAATCAAATAAGGTCGAAATTACCATCCCATTTATGTGAAGGAATATGCTTCAAATTTTCTTCCCTTTGAATACAATGACATTGATTTGTAGTGATCGTGCATGTTATGTATAGCTAGCTTGTGAGTTAAGCTCTCTCTCTCTCTCAATATATTACTGTTTCATCTTGTGCCTATAAAAGGCCTCATAAACCCCATGAATCTCCACCATCATCACAACCCAACACCAAAGAAGCAAACTTTACACCAGCAGAGCCAAAAAAAAGACCAAAGGGGAAAAACCCCATTAGCTAGAGATTCATCGTTCTTCCTAATGGCAAGAGGAGCAATGGAGCCTCTGATAGTAGGGAGAGTGGTGGGGGAAGTGGTGGAGATGTTCAACCCGAGCGTGAGAATGAGCGTTACGTACAACTCCAACAAGCAAGTCTCCAATGGCCACGAGCTCATGCCGGCCCTCGTTGCTTCCCGGCCTCGTGTCGACATCGGCGGCGACGACTTGCGCACTCCTTACACCCTCGTAAGTAAAAAAAATAAAACCCCACCATTGCCTTCAGTTCATGACTGTCTTGTACCTTCTCCCTGTTCTTCTTCTAGCTTGTTTGTGACTTCGTATGTGCTCATTGATTCGGTTTTGGTGGGTGGCGAAACTGAAGATCATGACCGACCCAGACTATCCAAGTCCTAGTGATCCTTACCTCAAGGAGCATCTTCACTGGTACGTATACAATTTCTATGGCTTGAGAAAAGATTATCCGTCGTTATTCTGGACATGGTTTGTAACATTTTTCTTTCCATGTTTGATTAGTGTTAGGTCGTCACTCTCAATCTCTATAATATGTATCTCCTCGAGTATCAAAGTGAACTAGTCTCTTTTGATCATACAGATTAGCTAATACATACACATCTTATTGATTATAAACCACATAAATCTATGTGCTTTTTACTTTCTTACATTATCGATTTCCGTTATGTTCTAAACATATATATACCATTCCTTACATATATAGTAGCTTCCCTTATTCCTATGAGTCCTAATTAATCTCGGTTCGTGTTTTCTTGTTCTAACCTTAGGATGGTAACCGACATTCCTGGCACGACAGATGCTTCATTCGGTGAGCTTATTCTCTCTCTGGCTATACTCTTTTCTTTTTACCGATAGTGATGGCAATTTGAAACCGCACTGCGGGTATTATCCGACTTGACCCGCGATGGGGCGGGTATTACCTGACCCACAACAGCGTGGGACAGAACATGGGTATCTTCTTCCGACCCACCACGTTCTAGATCCATGTTATCTCAATTTCTCACGGTATCTATTCATATTTCTCCTATTTTGACTTTTATTCAACTAGTTATAGTCGATATTTCAACTTGTTAGACTTAATTACCTATTCTATTATCAACAATTTTCTTTCATAAAGTGTTTTTCCCTTTGTTTTATCGTTAAAATTAAAATTTGCCTGTATCTTTTCCAAATAACATGTAAGAGTGGGTCGACCCGTCCCACCCCGTAACCGCGCGGATTTTAGCCGTCCCGACCAGTAATAGCGTGGAGAGCGAGGCATGGGAATTGAACCCGTCCTGCCTCGCCCCATTGCCATCCCTATTTACCGATCCGATGAAGTAATGGCGATGGATAACTGATGGAAATAACGCAGGGAAGGAAATGGTGAGCTATGAGGTGCCGAGGCCGGTTGTCGGAATACACCGCTACGTGTTCGTCATGTTCAAGCAGACAAGAGGGAGGCAGACGGTGAGGGCGCCGCCGTCAAGGGAGTGCTTCAACACCAAAAAGTTCTCACAGGACAACGGCCTGGGGCTCCCTGTTGCTGTCATTTACTTCAACTGCCAGCGAGAAACTGCAGCAAGAAGAAGATAAAAACACAGCTTGTATATAGTTCGTGCATGTGTTACAAATAAATGAAACTAGAAAGGAGGCCGCACTTCGTTGCGGTTGAAATGTAGCGAGTGGCAAGTTGACTTGAAAGTTCGTGTTTCAACTGATATTTGCAAGTAATATGTATCCTTGAACCAAATGTCTTTCAAGTTAAATATCTTATGTCAAATAACTCAAAGGTTGTGAGTTGTTTATATGGAGTACTTATTATGCCAAATAGGAAATAATTGAATAAAATTTTAACAGATAATGGACAAATCTATTATGGATAAGGAAAAAGAGTACACTACCCAAACTCTCCAGCATAACCCTTCTCCTTCTTTACATAATGAGGTTCAAAAATTTAAACTCATTATCATCATGCTCTTACTAATCTCAATATCTCAATACCTAAATAAGTGCGTGTAAGAGATTTATCAATTTGCAATAACCTAGCCACTGCGGTTCATGTTATTTGTGTGTGGATTTATATCAAATCGTGGATTAATCACTCATGTGTCATCCCCTAGTGTTTATCGCTAATTCATGGAGCTAATTGATGATGTATGCATGTGAGGGTGGCTAGTAACTTTAATAAAAATTTCGGGAACACGAAGAAGAAAAAATGTCCAATTTATTGATCGAGATACAAACTAAGGAGAAAGAGAAGAGGTTAAACATTATGATTTAAGTTTAATTTATACCTCGAAGCACCAATTCTTTAAAACTAAAATATAATAGAAAGACTAATAAAATAAAGTATAAAAATAACTGACGATAAAACAAAAAACCCATAGCTCGAATTGTACTCCCAAAATGCAATCTCAATTTTAATGAGATTATTATATATTTTATACCTGTACCTCAAGTCACCGTTGCTTTAAAATTAAAGTATAGTAGTGCTCTTGTGGAAAGTATAACAAATAATATTATTACAATCTCAATTTAACTATAAAAATCATGCCTGAATTGTTGTCTCGTTAAATATCAAGTTAGTGAATAGTAAGCTTGCTCTCCCTCTCTTAATTAAGGAAATCGAAAAAGTCTATTATTGCCTTTAAGGCTATCAACCTGCGAGTCGACTTGGATTGGTGAGAAATAGGTGTCACATGCCTGTGGGTCGGCCCGCAGCAAGGTTCCTGGGTTGGAGGTCACACGACGTTGTTTTTCTTTTTGGATTGTGAAATGCGCATCTTTTCCAGATTTTACTTTTCGCTAACCCTATCTTTGAAATTCCAAATTGAACATATGAATATTTATATAATACGAGTGTGTTCGAATTTTCACTATATGTTGAATTCAAGTATGAACTGTCATTTTAGTATATAGTTATATGTTATTATTTAGGGTAAATACAATTTAATATCCAAACCTTTCATTTTAAACAATATAATAGCCAAACCTTTTCGAAAACAATCTAATATCCAAATCGTCAACTTTCCGTTCGTTTGACCTTTGGTTGACACTTCAAAAAAGTTCAAAGTACGACGCTTCATCAATATCCATCGATATCTTCTCTGAAAAACCACCAACATATCGTGGTTCCAAACCCGAGAAGTCCATGACTCCACCATGATGGTATAGAATATCTAAATATTCAGTAATCGGCAATGCCAAAACAAGAAAACAAAGTTCTATTGCGACAATGTCCACTAAACAAAGCTTTTTTGAAGTGTCAACCAACAGTCAAACGGA